TATATATATATATATATATATAGTTTTTTTTTTTTTTTTTGACGTGAGCTCGAGCTATTTGGTCCTTCTTTTCGACCACCAGAGGGCAGTCACCTTTTTCTAACATTCCAAATAAATGATAAAAGAACCGTAGAAGAAGAAAACAAGCACCAGCACCCGGGATCGTTTTGAATGAACCTTCCGTTTTTAAAATTCACCTTTTTATATCTAATCTTTTCGTTTGATTTTCCTGGATCTGCTGCTTGCCTTTTAGCGTTACAATGTCCGGAATACCTCCAGACAATTGGCAGCCGCCCACCGTGTCTTTAGAGACGACGTAAGTCAACATAAATGAACTGCATGCTAGTTGTGTTAGCGTTCATTTTACTGTGGAAACTTCATCGTGAATCCTATTCACAGATAAACCTTTGTTTTTAGACCTGTATAAGCCTTTCTATTTACCGAATTAGATTTATATGTTTTATCCATACAACGTGGGTTTACAGAGCATGTGCTGCTTTTATCAGTGATGGTGTGTTTTTGTCAGGATGGGGACCGTTGTGGTGGAGCTTTACTGGAATCATGCACCCAAAACCTGCAAGAACTTCGCAGAGCTGGGCAGAAGAGGCTACTACAACAACACCAAGTTCCACAGGATCATCAAAGACTTCATGGTGCAGGGGGGGGACCCTACAGGAACAGGTTGGCTTCACTTAAGGAAGGACATTGTACATTTTAACTTAGAAATATGCATTTGAGGTGTTTGGTATGCATTTGTATTCAGCCCCTTTATTCTGATACTCATACATTGAAAAACAAAATCCCCATAAAAGTTACCTAATTTTACCTTCTGTAAATTAACTTCAGTATAGATGCAGCTGCTCTTCTTTTTTTTTATTTTTTATTTTTATTAATTTTTATCATTTAAAGGTTTATTGCCACAGTTTTATAAATACATTTTACATGAGAACAATTAGGACAAAACAAAGAAATATTAATTTGGTTGTTGGACCTACCATCCAGTCTCCATCTGAATAAACAAATATTTTAGTAAACAATAAAAACTGATAGTTACAACTTCCATTGCTTTGACATAAATAGAAGTTATAGCAAAGTCATAATGTTTATGTTTTATGGCTACATGTCCTGATATACTGGATGATACTACAATGCCCATTATGAGCCTTTTGTTGGTAGAGAACATAACTCAGAACCATAACTCAGTTCATCAATACAGAACCATTGACTCTAAAAAAGTATTTTTATTAGCCTCACTTCAACTCCTTCCTGACTCATATGCTGTCGACCCAAACAGGTTTCTGATTACTGGCCATGAAACAATATGAACGGATCACCAACTGAAATAATCTAACTTTTGAACTTTTTAAACTGCTCTCACCTTCAACATGTGGAAACAAAGAAACTGTGCAGCTTCATCTTTCCTCAAAGTCTCTGATCATAACAACAGTGTGAGAGACAGAAAACCCAAAGGCCATTATTTCTTTCTTTTTCTTTTTTTAAACGGTCTCCTGTCTGGCAATGTGGCAATAAGAATGCAGCTGTTCTTCTTGAAGAAAAAGCAAAGGGTCAAGATCTTTACAAAATGTGTGTTCTTTGTTCACTTGCTTGACTAAATCATCACTGGTCTTTGTCTTTATCCACAGGGCGAGGCGGTGCCTCCATATATGGTAAACAGTTTGAGGATGAGCTGCACCCAGAGCTGAAATTTACAGGTAAAAAAATGCATCATTAAAATTACATGTTTTAGGGGGAAGGTATCTGCAATTTAAAACAGCTGGCTCATGTTTTACTAAAATCTTTTTATTTCATGACTTTACCCAAAAGCACTTTTGGGCAAACGTTTAGTTGCATCTTCAGCATCTGTGTTGATTAGAAAATCATCTTTTTATGTGTGGTCATGTCTTTAGGTGCTGGGATTCTGGCCATGGCAAACGCGGGACCAGACACCAATGGAAGTCAGTTCTTTCTCACACTCGGACCAACGCAATGGCTGGACGGGAAGCACAGTATTTTTGGAAGAGTGTGTCAAGGCATAGGAGTGCTGAACCGGATCGGACTGGTGGAAACAAACAGTCAAGATCGTCCGGTTGATGATATCAAAATTGTCAGAGTCACTCTACCTATTTAGAAAATGCTTGTTTTATGTTCTCGTTTTTTTTCTACTGCTTTGGAAAATAAATATTTGATAATCTTTTAGACTTTGAATGCTTCCGTTTCAATCTAACATAAAAAAAAAAAACAAGACGAGAGACCGAAATTACCAATACTGATCAAAGTGAAGTATATTTATAGACATCTGAAAAAATGTCCTGTAGCCTAATACATTAGTAACATAATACTTATTATAATAATACGTAATACCTTTGAGCCTTTCATTTATTCTTAACAGATCTGAACTTTTTCCATAACTAAGGGTAAAGAGTTTGTTTTTCCTGCCTTGGAAAGAAAAACCTTTTTTTTGTTTTTATTCTCCCTTTTTGTTTATTTTTAGAGACCCAAGCTGCACTTTACTCGCTCTCCACAGACGCACACCCCAGCATGTTGTGTCCCACTATCCTTGTGGGGACTTCCTATTAACTTCCATTCATTTCCCACTAATTTCTATGGCCTAACCTAAACTGAATTCACATCTTAGTCCTCAACCTAACCCGCATCCCAAGAAGAGTACCTTTCCTCATGGGGACCAGTCGTTTGTCCCCAAAAGTACCTATAAGTCCCCAAAATGTTGCATATTCCTTGGAAAGCTTCCTCACAAGGTAACAAAAGCATGACCACACACACAATAACAAAACACAAAGTTATATCACCCCAGAAAGTATTTTATTATACAGCCTTAAAGTTCCACATACAGGATAAAGGCTTTATTGAAGTTTGAAGAAAATACTTTGTACCACAAAAATAATGCTCTGTATAAAGTTACATCATAGGTAGCTGCTGCACTTTTTAAGACTCAAAGTATGTTTATTTGCTTTATATATTGTATAAAATGTAAATTCATTATGTAAAAATTGTATAGATGGTTACAAGCCATTATAAGCAATCATCTCAAATCAATAATGCTGTAAAATTCCATTATCATGTGCTGTGAGAAGATAGAAGAAAATGTCTGATATGGCTCTAATCAAATATAAATATCCATTCTTGGGAATCAAATTTATAAAAAAAAAAAATGTTTTTGTTTTTTTATATATACATTTTTTTTCTACAAATACTTAATAACATATCCCCTAAGAAACAAACTAGTCTGGTATTAGTTTTACATTGGGATGTAAATACTAGTGATCAACAAAATAAAAGAACAACTTTAAACCCCTCCATGTACATTAGGATAACATTGCATTGTAAAGCTATATGCAGTAGAACACAGTGTACCGATAATCTTTTTTAGTTTTTCTTTTTTTGGGGGGTTGGTAAACATCAGTAAGTGATTAATTGAAAGAGATAAAATCTCTTTTGTTTTTTTATGTACATGATAAAGACTGAAGCAGTTAAAGAGTAAAGTTCATAATGAGTGCACCAAAGTGCCCAAATAACTTTTAGCATAAAATATTATAGTCTGTCTTTCCATGCACTCTAAATATTTAGCATGGGAAGGAAAATAAACAATCATCAGTGCAGATTGTGTCTTTGAATAGCACAGTATGAGATAATGTAATTATAACTGTTCAGATGTCAAAATCACCTAAGAATTCTCTTCAAATGGTGGTGCTTTCTCTCTTTCTATTCTTAATCATCTGTCTTGGGGATAAACATTCAATGCCTTAAAAACAGTTTCTTATTGCCCCTAAGTGCCAAATAATCATGAGCTAAATCAGTTAGGAAAGTGTTTAGTCTCCATTTGAGTATTTAGCATGAATGGGAGTCAATCTTCCCCAATGTAGTGATTGAATACCTGAAAGGTATAGTGGAGGATTTTTGAGTATTTTTGAAAAGACCCTCCAGTTTAAAAAAATAAAAAATGCACATGCACAAACCTGTACCCGCTCCCAAGAGGGAACGACTACCTAATGCGTGTGAGAGCACGCACAAGCCCATTTCTGCTCATGCATGCTCTGTTTAAAAGTTGTTTTTTACATCACTCATATAAGCTTACTTTCCAAAAGAAGATTTGCAAATTTTTCCTCTATGTCTGACTCACCGCCGGTAAGGAAAAATAGGGATGAGCACATAGGATGGCCTTACGTAGGCATGTAACGGCAGATTGCCGTTCAAAACCTAATTTCGTTTTCCGGATAAAAATTACTCTTAGTGGATAACATAAGTTAATTACCGTGCTATAACCATCCCTGCACAAGCAGTTAAACTTCTTGACACGCAGTGAATGTAAAATCATGTTTGCCGGAAAGTTTTCCAAAGTACCTAAATTAAGCAGAAGTAAGTATTTGTCCATAGTTGTGCTAGCCGCTTTAAGTATTCACAATGCAGAAACAATCCTCATCAGTGCATACAGATATTTTACATAGCTTTGCATGTATGTACAATTATCAGTGAGTTATAACAGCAAAGGTAAAACACATATGGGAAATATGGTGTCTCTGAGTTCTCACCCTAAAAGTCTTACACATATCCAAAACATCCATGACATCATTGCTGCTGTGTAATCTACATATGCTGCCAATACAAAGGAGAGGCTGGAAAGGATTTTACCTTATTCTTGGTTATTGTGAAATACTGACACAAAGAAGGTATGCAATAGCATGACTAGTGTATGACAATCTATTGCTGGAGACCAAGCACAATATGAAAATAAGATGTTCTAATTTTTATCTAAAATATCATTCCTGCAGCTTCTTCCTCTTTGCAAACAGTCGCCCATAAAAATGTTTAGGCTCTGTCTGCCACTGGAGCTCAGAGAGTGAGGAATCAACCAGTAATGATGAGCTGTGCAGGTATCATCAACCAAGGCAGAAATCTGGGTTGTGCACATGAGCAACAGCAAAAAAAGACATTATTTTGTAAATGCAGTCTCTGATATTTTCACATCTGATACTAAACATAAAATCATCCTGTTTTGCTTTAATAGAATTGCAATTATTGTGCTGCTGTGACATGTTTTGCAAATGTACATTGCTCTTCTTCGATTTCAGATTGCTGAACTATCTACATCCTCATCAGTGTTACTTAATGCTGTGGTGATATTCACTCATTACGTAATGAGTGAATATCACCACTGAAAGAACAATAAAGCCGCCTTTACAATATATTGTAAACTAACTAATATATAGAGTTTACAATGTATTGTAAACTCTGTTATTTTTGTCATTTATTTCTTTGCTGTATCAAGTCTTCTTGGAAATAGCTTTAATATTGTTTAAAGTGGATTTATTTCCCCTTTAAGATCTGACACATTTATAGGAAATCTTTGGTTGTTGGTTGAGTAGCAGGTCTAAAAATTGCATTTTTAATTTTTTTTTACAAGACTAAATCTTTATATTAATGTCAAACTGACTCAAAGTGGACAACCTTCCAGTTGGTCTCATTCAAGTGTACGCACAGTTATAGACTTCTACACAGATCCACAGGCAGCTGCTTGGGGTTAAATGCCTTGCCCAGGGGCAGTTCAACATTTGGAGAACTAAACTCAAAATCGTAACTTTCGGATGACAAGATCACTGAATTTTCCTCTAAGCCACGTAGGTTGCATCTACAAAACATTTACAGATTATTCTGCGGTTGAGTCATGCGTGGTGTGATTGGACTGGATGGTGGAAGTTAATGGAAATAACAGATTTATAAATTAAGTCATTTAACAGATTCTGGTTTAATTAAGCCGTGGACACACTTAGTCCTGCTTGGTCACACACACTGCCGTGGGAGGACATCCCATTCATAGACATGGTATTTATCACAAGTCAATCATTTAGGTGGTAGTGGTCAAGAAGCACATCGAAATAACAGCGGCAAAGAGGTCAGGACTACAGGTTGGTCAGTCCATCCTTAAAGCGCCCAAATCCGGATGCAGACAATACATGTGCTTCACTTTTACATTCCAGTGTACGGAAATGAGAGATCGGATTGCCACTGGTTGCTTCCTTTCTTCACTGAGATTGCCTCTGACAAGCCCTTCTATTCCAGTGATGAGAAGGTGACCTCCCATCTTTATACTGGCTTGGCTGAACGCTATTTGTAAAAGGCAAGTAGCCTAGTAAAGGAGCCCCACCCGCCAGCGGCCAAATTCATTTTTGCCTGCGAGTTGGTCTAGCCTCGATCAATGCCCCGGGCCCTAGAACTGGCGGGCCAATCACAACGCAGAGATGTGTTTTTTATTTCTGGATGCAAAGCAGGCAGGGATTTGAGGGCGTGACGACAAAGCTGCGCGACGCTGGAGAAAGCGCAACAAGGAAGATAGCGACAACTAAGCAAACAAACCATCGTTTGACTCAGCTTTGGAATCAGTTTTGGAAGGATCTGACCTGGGTTTTTCGTTGAAACATGAGCAGGAAGAGACTCTACGCTCATTCATTTTTAACAAGGACGTATTCACCGTTTTACCAACAGGCTGTTTGTTTACACTCCCCCACCAGCTTTCTGTCACGCTTACTGTGTCAGTCAGTTGCGCTTATTGGTCTGAGCGTTGGCCAATAGGCACAGACATGGTTTGAAAAACAACGGGTTGTTCTCATCAACAATCTTCCGATGTCTCATTCATTGGGGCCAAACTAAATTACACATTTAATGTCATATTTAGTCTGGTTCATCAGGCTAAAAGGCAAGGTGAATTCGGACAGATTTGCATGGGCCATCACACTCACTTCTGCTGCTCAACAAACAAAGGCGTATCCCTTGGAAATGTGCCAGGAGTTAAATGGAAATCCTTAACCTTTCCAGTTGTGTAACATTTACTGCCAAGAAGCAATGTTACAACCACATAGAATATATTGATCTCATAAGACTTTTTGTAAATTTCCTTTTAACTATATTTCTAAGAGTCAAATTTAAACAACAAAATGATCTTAGTTTAGTGTAGGCTCTCCAAATTTGTGCTTCCAATCTTTAAACAACATTCCAATTTTATTTCCTGGAAAAATATTTATTGGAGGATAGACGAGATATAAATCTTCTTTTTCCTTTGTTTTAGAATGTTACAAGTATTGAGCACCCCCAAAGCGCAGTGATGCGCTACATTGCAAGGTTTTAATACATTAAGGATGTTTCTTCTTTTTTTTGTCATATTTTGCCAAGTTATCTAAGAAAGAGGGCAAGCAGATCTAACCAGGTTGATCTATATAGAAATATAACATAGATTCAATATTTTCATTGAGTGTTCTTAATTACAATTCAGTGCTGTTTTTTTGAGATTCTAGATGTTGTTGGCAGAATGATAGAAAACATGTGCTCCAAAAACTGCCCCCAAAAGACCGATATGTAGAAAATATTGAAATAGATACCGACTGTATACTGAGAATGTTTTTAATCCCATTACCCAATATGTTGTATTTTGGGGAAAGATAATTTTCTAAGATTTTTAAAGCATGGGATCATTTTGTTCCCTGTTCTGAGCACTCATCAATGTGTTGAGACTTGGCACTTCCTTCACCATCCCTGGAAGATCGTCTGCAGGCAGGGAGGTTTTCTTGAATCGCTGAGGAAAGTATCAATAATGTTAAAAAAAATCCCTCTTGCCTCTACCAACATACAAT